GCGGAGACGCTGCATCGCAATGCAGCATCCATGACTGAGATTGGGAGGAAGATTGGCGACGGTGTTGCAACGGAGCATCCATGGCGATGCTAGCCGGCGATGGTGCTGCAACACATCCATGGCGCTGCTCGCCAGCGACGGTGCTGCAGCGCAACATCCATGGCGATGCTCACTAGTGCCGGTGCTTCAATGGAGCATTGCTAGGACATCGGTGTTGCGATGAAGCATCATCGGAGCCGGTGCTTCAATGGAGCATCATCGGGTGCCGCCGGTGTTGCGATGAAACATCATTGAGCCGCCGCTTTATCAGTGGAGCATCGCCGGACCATGGGGGTGCTTCTGTGGAGCATTGCTGTGGCCGGGAATTGATACTCTGGTGACGGGCGCTGCTGCTCCGACGAGTGAGAAGGAAGATGAGCACTGCCAGCCAGAGGAGGAAGAAGCAGCACGCTGAGAGCAATGGCGGAGCTTGCAGCAAACAACTGGGCGGGCCACAGTGCAAAAGAATGCTATTAACTGACTTTTCTGGGTCTATGGGCTGACTGTATTAGAGGTAAAATGCCACAAAGCTGGGCGGGCCATGGACCATGTAGCCTTGCAGTAGCTCCGCCACTGGCTGCGAGCAGGCGATCGAACGGCCACGCGCAGTACATCGGACTTTTCTAAAATCAACCGGCTGATTTGTAGTAGCGCCAAATTTTTAGGCCGTTTTAGGCCAGGAGGATGCGGTCTGTTCTCCACTCGCATGATTGTAGGGCGTTGTGTATGAGCTCGGATCATGGGATGACACGGTCGATAGTGGAGCACATGGCACAACATGTTTGTTTTCCAATAGAACAGAGAGAAGAAGAAACATGAGAAAAGCTGCAAGTTGTTGGCAGCGCAAAATATTACTCCACACTCTCTTGCTCGTTCATAGTTTAGGGATAACAATTGGCATCAGAGCCTCATTTCGGTGGCAAGTTGAGCGGCATCAATGGAATGCCGCATCCGGCTCCAACATACCACCGCTACAGGAGCGACGCTCGCCGAGCCATGGGCGCAGCATGCCATGGCGTGGTGATGACGACGGGGTCTTGATGCAGCAGGTCATGCGCGAGCCGGCGGCGTGACACCAACCTCACCTTCGTGATGCTCACCCGCTCAAACTACTTTGCCCGAGTGCTGGTGATGATGGTGAACATGCATGTTGCAATTCTATGGGACGTCATCGAGGATGACGCCGCGCCTCACAAGGACGACCCGCAAGTCGTGGCGGTGCTAATACGCTTCACTCTGTCAAAGATGCACAACATGCTCGCTCAAAGGACGAGCGCCAAGGACGCGTGGGCTGCAATCTAGACTCATCACCTCGCCAGTGACCACATGCGTGTGGCGAACGCGCAATGTCTTCGGGCAGAGTTTGAGATGTTCTCCTTCAAGGATGATGAGTGCATCAACAACTTCGTGTTGCCTGAGTCGTGGGCTTCCTCACTAACGAGTGAAAGTGCAACTATCCCTGGGTGGTTTTGGTAATTTCTAACAACATATAGCTCATTGAGCTAATGCTATTCCAAGATGAGTATTTCAGCAAAGCTCAATGGTTGACATGGCATGGATTAGAAAGTGGACCCTTCAAAATGCTAAGGATAAAAGATTGGCTCAAGCCCAAAGCACAAGACTCTACATTTTCTATTTTAATGATCCAAGATCACATTGAGTCTATAGGAAAAGCCAATACTAGTAAAAAGGGATGAGGTGTTGCTTAATGAGGTGCTTGCTCAAAATGCTTAGTGATATGCTCCAAAACCCTCCACTACTTTCTCATATCCACATATGTCCCACACCAAATATCCAACTCGGCCCCATCGATTCTTTCTATCCGGCGTCACCGAGTTCAGTTGACATAGCCACTGCCAGAAACCCTAGTCTTTTCGGTCTCACCGATAGGGATCTCGGTCTCACTGAGATGAGATTGTAATCTTTCTGTTTCCCTTAGTAACACTTCGCTCCAACCGAGATGAGCCATCGGTCTCACCGAGATTGCAATGTAAACTCTCCGTTTCCCTTTCGTAACACTTCGGTCCAGCCGAGATGAGCGAATCGGTCCCGCCAAGTTTGCCTGACCAACTCTGTGTTAGTCCATTACCAAAATCGGTCTCACGGAGTTTGTGTAATCAGTCTTACCGAGATTACATTATGCCCTAACCCTAACAAAATCGGTCCCACCAAGTTGACATGTCGGTCCCACCGAGAATCCTAACGTTCACATTTTGAACTAAATCGGTCTGATCGAGTTTCATGATTCGGTCCCACCGAGTTTGGTGATTTGTGTGTAATGGCTAGATTTTGTGTGGAGGCTATAAATACCCCTCCACCCACTCTTCATTCGTGGAGAGATCCGTCAGAACATGCCTACACTTCCAATACACATTTTCTGAGAGAGAACCACCTACACTTGTGTTGAGGTCAAGATATTCCATTCCAACCACATAAATCTTGATCTCTAGCCTTCCCCAAGTTGATTTCCACTCAAATCTTCTTTCTACCAAATCCAATCCTATGAGAGAGAGAGTTGAGTGTTGGGAAGACTATCATTTGAAGCACAAGAGAAAGGAGTTCATCATCAACACACCATTTGTTACTTCTTGGAGAGTGGTGTCTCCTAGATTGGCTAGGTGTCACTTGGGAGCCTCCGACAAGATTGTGGAGTTGAACCAAGGAGTTTATAAGGGCAAGGAGATCGCCTGCTTCGTGAAGATCTACCCTAGTGAGGCAAGTTCTTCGTGGGCGACAACCATGGTGGGAAAAACAAGGTTGCTTCTTCGTGGACCCTTCGTGGGTGGAGCCCTCCGTGGACTCACACAACTGTTACCCTTCGTGGGTTGAAGTCCCCATCAACATGAATGTACATAGCACCACCTGTCGGAACCACGCCAAAAATCTCCGTGTCAACATTACGTTTGCTCCCTCAAACTCCTCTCTTTACCTTCATATGCAATTGTTTTACATTCCGCTGCTATACTCTTAGAATTGCATGTGTAGGTTGATTACTTGTTTGTGCTAAGTTGCTAAAATCTGCCAAGAACTAAAACTGGGAAAAGGCTAGATTTTTATTTGGTCAAGTAGTCCAATCACCCCCTCTAGACATACTTTCGATCCTACAAGTGGTATCAGAGCTTTGGTCTCCATTTGCTTTGGTTTCCATAGATTTTGGTGGTCATAGCCTTGGTTTCACAACCTAGGAGAGTATGGCGTCTAGCGAGGGAAATTATCATCGTAGAGGTCCTTACTTTGATGGTACAAATTTTGCTAGTTGGAAGTATAAGATGAAAATGCATATTCTTGGACATAACCCCACCGTTTGGGCTATTGTGTGTGTTGGCTTGCAAGGTGAATTCTTTGATGGGAGAGAACCAAACCGTGAAGCTACCGCGGAAGAGTTGAAGATGCTACAATACAATGCTCAAGCTTGTGATATTCTCTTCAACGGATTGTGCCCCGAAGAATTCAACAAAATCAGCCGTCTTAAGAATGCAAAGGAAATTTGGGATACTTTGATTGACATGCATGAAGGTACCGACTCCGTCAAGGAATCCAAATTGGATGTGCTTCAAAGTCAACTTGACAAGTTCAAAATGAAGGATAGTGAAGGTGTCGCTGAAATGTATTCTAGGCTTGCTCTCATCACAAATGAGATTGCCGGCTTAGGAAGTAAAGAGATGACCGACAAATTCATCATCAAGAAGATCCTAAGAGCCTTGGATGGAAAATATGATACCGTGTGCACATTGATCCAAATGATGCCCAATTACAAAGATCTCAAGCCAACGGAAGTCATTGGAAGAATTGTTGCTCATGAAATGTCACTCAAGGATAAGGAAGAGCTTCACAACAAGTCAAGTGGTGCTTACAAAGCCTCATGTGATGCTCCCACATCATCAAGCGAGAAACAAACCTTCAATAAAGAATTGAGCCTAATGGTAAATAACTTCAACAAGTTCTACAAGAGTAGAAGCAAAGAAAGAAATTCCAAATCAAGGTCCTACAATGACAAAAGATCTTCTAGTCGTGAGCGTAATTGCTACAATTGTGAAAGACCCGGACACTACTCCAATGAGTGTACGGCTCCCTACAAAAGAAGAGAAGATTCCCCCAAAAGAAGTAGAAGAGAAGAATCACCACCAAGAGAAAGGAGTAGTAGAGATGATCGTTATGAACGAAGACCCTCTCGGAGAAGCAATGATTCGGAAAGGAAAGAAAAGTCATCAAGGAACTACACAAAAATAAGACATCAAGCTCATGTTGGTGAATGGGTATCCGGCTCCGACTCTGACAATCACTCCGAAAGAAGTTATTACTCCTACTCCGAATATACTCAAGATGAAGGTGTTGCCAGTCTAGCACTTGTGTCAACCAACTCCTACGACATATTTGACTCACCAAATGAAGGAATTGGAAGGTGCTTCATGGCCAAAGGTCCAAAGGTAACACACCCCGAGTATGTTGATTTCAATAGTGATGAAGATGATTTGCTAGGTGATGATGATTTACTTATTGACAACTCTAGTGATGAATACTATGATGAAACGTCAATTAATCATGCTAATCAAGATAAAACGAATGATGATGATAAGAAGGAGATTGAGCATCCAACTAAAGAACTAAACACTCTTAAGTTAGCTCATGAAACTACCTTGGAAAATCATCGAGAACTTTTAAAGACATGATAAGCTACGCTTTGAAAAGCTCAACCTTGAGCAAGAGCATGAGTTTTTAAAGGCAATCAATGATGATCTTCGCAAGAAAAGTTCTTACATTTCCAAGTGTTTACTCTTGTCTACTTACATGCCACAAGTTAAATCTAGCAATAAGAGCAAGAAATATTCTTCATCTAGTAGTAACAACAATCATGCTAAATCTAATATTGTTGCTTCTAGTAGTTCTCTTGATTCCACTAATGATTCTCTTAGCCAAGTTACACTTGAGAAAGAAAATAGCTTATTAAAGGTAATTATAGAGAAAGGTGTTTACAAGAGCCTTGCCGGGAGTAAGCAATTTGAGGAAATTGTACGCAAGCAAGGAAGACACCGGAAGAATCAAGGTGTTGGTTTTGAACGAAAGTTCAATGCCAATGGAGTTGAGTGGGAAGAAGATCAATACCCCAAGACGAAGTTTGTTCCTCAACAAGAGAAGTATGATCCTACTTCTTTCAAAGGGACACAAGCTCAAGATGATCTTCCACCACAAGACCACAAGCAAAAAGGCAAGGACAAGCTTCAAGAGGAGATTGATGCATTTGAAGAAGCACCCAAGGCCTTGGTCAAGTGGGTTCCCAAGACCACATCAAGTTCTACTTTATCAAGTACAACTACAACTCCAAGGGTTCCCATCAAGATGGTGTGGATCCAGAAGAAGGAGAACTAGAGAGCTCTTGAGGGTGACTCCGCCAACTTACTTCACTCTTATAATTTTGGCGAGGACAAGTGCAAACAACTTCCATATCTTGCACTAGTTCAAGGAGTCACAAACCCTCTTGTTGGTAAGACAAGGGACAAGGTAACCTAATGCTTTCATGGACATAATCTTGTGTATGCATCATTCTATGTCTATGGATATCCTTGTTTGTTCCTTGTGGGACTAACCCGTGTAGGTATTGAAAGTGCAACTCACTCCAAAGGATTGATCCAAATGATCTATATCAACATTGAGCATCTACATCTTCAAAACCTACATGAAGTCGTCATCGACAAAACCCAAGGTTAGTTCATCCCTCTTAGGGGGGATATCACATCTAGGGGGAGCTTTGCTCTAACCAATTGAGCTAAAGCGACTCTAATGGTGTGAACACAACAATGCTTTATGTATGTAGCGACCCTACCTCAAATGGTCAAGTCTCTATGCTTCAGTGTCATCCCTGGATCGGTAATGCTGACACACACAGTACTCAAAGGATTTATAACAGAGTAGCAATCACACACTTATTACATCGAATGTCTCAAAAGAGAACTTATTACAATTCATATGGATTAAGGCCATCTGATACGATAACAGTGGAAGGCTTGGAAGATAAAGTGAGTCCATCAACTCCAACGGCATAGCTGAGCTGCACGACAACGACCTAACGAACCTTACTCCTCGTCTGAAAAGTCTGCAACATAATACGTTGCAGCCCGAAAATGGGCCAGCACATGGAATATGCTGGCAATATAACACAGTAGAGCAAGAATAGAATAATGCTATCACTACGTGCATATTTGGCTGGTGGAAAGCTCTATGGTTATAGTTTTGCGAAAAGCCAATTTTTCCCTACAACAAAGGAATATATTTTATTTAACTATCATGGTAGTTGAAACATCATT